CTAAATTGGCTGTGAGAAATCTGTCTGGTAGGCTAAAAAGTTCATTTCAGAGCTTGAATGTAACACTCTTCTTTCTTTTTATATTTTGTTGAGGTTATGATTTGCATTTAGCGCTTGTGGTTGTAGGGTTGTAGGGTCATGTCCACAGCAGACACAATCATAAGCTCAGTTTATCCTCAAGAGATACGAGCACCAAGTCTCAGTGTGAGTGACTGATAACAGATCTGGACCACAGTGCCTCCTGCAGCTGTTTTTCTGGCCACACAAAGTCATGCTCACCATTATGCCATTAAACGAACCTCTCAAAGGCAGACGGCCAGTATCTTGTCCCTTGTCCCAAACTGTCAAGCTTGTTGCTATGCGATAGCATTGTTGCCATTTCAGCTAACTACCAGGGTTTTGTTCCCATTTTTCAAGCCACATACGAGAGTGTATGTGAGTGTGTGCATTTTAGAGGCAGGGGGTTGTTTCAGACAAAGCCATGCGGAACTGGGGCCCGAGCCGTGACCTTGGGAAATGTCAGGCCGCCCACGGAGTGGCTTGCCTGTGTCTGCCACTCTGGTACAGCTAGGAACAAGAGTGGGGCGTAGCACAACCTAGCTTAACCTAGCGTGGCGAGAGCAGGGTTCAGTCCGAGTTTCTACCACTGCCTCAGAGACCTCTGGTCAGCAATCTAGCCATTTCTCACTAACAACATTATGGCCATTACTGCCCATCCTCCCTGGTGTCACATGAAAATAGGTCATGCCTCACATACTTCACTGTTTTGCTCAGGTGACCGAGAGCTTGGTCAGTGAAACGCCCTGGTGATGTGCTTCAAACGCTTGAACCTTTAACGATGAGGTACGGAAAGTCAGGAGGATGCTTGCACATAATCGCATTCACATCAAGGGACGTGTGTGTATCGGGTTTATATCTTATTTTCTTTTCTTTTTCAAGTTAAGAAGCATGCTCTGCTGCATTGTCAGTATCATGGTGCATGGTCGCATGGGGTCGTGGCAGTTGCCACCCCTTTGGACCAAAGTAAGCAGTGCTGGCCAGATGTGTGTTGACTAATGATCCCTACGGGTCGACGGGATACCATTGCCAGGCAACGGCTTTTCCTTTTCCCTGTAAACAGAGGGCTTACTCGCGAGGCTTATGTTGGGGTCGGCAAGGTGAGACCAGCCTTTATGTGTGCGAGCAAAAGGCGAAGAAAATATGCTCAAATTAATTTTCTTACAGATCATATTCCGGTGTCACAAGTCCCCAGCCTTTTTTCCTGCTGTCTCTAGGTCTTGTTCTCTTATACTCTCACCGAGGTGTGAAGATTTAATTTGGTCAAGTGAACATACAGAAAAAACCCTCACTTGATAAGTTTTGACATCCTCCCTCATCTAGGCTTGTTGCTTTCTGACATGCTCGTGTGGAAGAATTGTTAATATGTATCAGGAATATTCACATTCTTTGTTCGCCCTTGTCTGGCAAGCTGTAATGTTTTGCTTATGAATATTGATACATGAAGTGTATATTAATGACCCTTGGTGACCTTAACCCTATCCTTATTGGCTCCCTTGTGGTATCGGCAAGCTCTTGAATATTAATCCAGTTGTATAACCTTCATTACCCTAATCTTTGCTGTCTAGCCTCCCGGAAGGGCCTGTCACCATGGTAACCCTTTTACTACACTCTTTTAGACCCTTGGAAAAAAAACATGGTTGAAAAATGAATAAAAGGCAAGTTATTCCACTGTGCGTTATGAGGGATGCGTCAGACACTCACCAGGGCAACTCTCAATTGAATTATATCACTCATCTTTTTAGAACATTTGTTTTTCAAACCATCCATTTTAGTCCTAATGAGAAAAGTCACTTGGAAAAGGTCAATCAATGGCTATAAGGACAATGCTGTCAGCATTTTGCCCTAACAGATTTTTCCTCCAGCATTTATTGATAATCATGCCATTACATATATATATTTAATAAGATGCTCGTTTTATAGGATACAACAAATGAAAATGAAGTATTGTCAGTTGTCTTGCTGGAAAAGCATTTGAATGAATCATGTTTTTTCCCATTTCACAGATGTGGACACGGTAGAGGATGGAGGGCCAGAGGGTGGCTCAGTAGAGGAGGACAGCTGGTTTGGGAATACCTCAGACAGCCCCTCTGAATCGTCCTACGGTGATGTGCAAGATGAGCTGCGGGTTTCCCCGGACAATGCTCCCCGACCGGACCACGACACCTCAGCCGAGAGCTCCCTGGGCTGCCCGACGCCAGTTCAGCGGGCTTCCCTGGAGCTGCTGGGGCTGGACAGTGTGATCCTCTCGACCCAGGACATGCTTTCCTCGGAGGTGTCCTCTCTTTACGGAGACTCCAGCCAGGCCCTGGGCAAGCCCCTCAGCAGCAACCTGCGGCGTCTCCTGGAGGCTGGCTCACTGAAGCTGGAGGGAGGCGACCTGAGTGGGCGTGGAATGGGAAGAGGACCAGAGTCGCCCCCGGTCAGCTTGGTACTATCTCCATCTTCACATCATGCACAGCAGCTGAGTGCCCTGGCGAGGAGGTTGGCTAACAGCAGCAGCAACAACAGTGGCAACTCGAACTCTGCATCACCTGCGTCTGTAGCAACTGTCAAGCAGGAGCCCTGTGACCCATATGGCCCCAGCAATGGCCCTAACTCAGGCAGCAGTGGCTTCGTATGGGTAGGTGTTGCAGATAAATGGCCGTCGACTAGTTGCTCAGCACCCAGTGGCAGCAGCCTATCACCAGACTCAGCTATCCAGAAGTTAAAGGCAGCCGCCAACGCCGTGCTCCAAGACAAGAGCGCAGTGGCCTCCTCCACCTCGGCGTCTTCATCCTCCTCTTCCTCCTCATCATCCTCTTCAGTCACCTCCTCCTCAATGGCAGCCCTGGGCACTCGCTCTGATGACGCAGTGCGCTTTGAACCGTTCGCTTCACCCTTCAGTCCGCAGTCAGCCAGCTCCACGCTTGCTGCCCTCTCAAAGAAAGTGTCTGAAAGAAGTCAGCAGCAGGTGGGCTCATCTGAGCATCAACCCTCAGCTGGCTCCTTTCTCTCTCTGGTTTCCATGACCTCCTCAGCAGCTCTGCTAAAGGAGGTGGCCGCACGAGCAGCAGGGAACCTTCTAGCTGATAAGAAAGAGCCGGCATTAGTACTGGGAGCCTCCGAAGATGTCAAGCCCCTGTTAGACAGGAACCAGAAGGTGCCCACCCCAACCCAGGCCATGGATCTTCTGCTGCCAACAATCCCCAAGGGAAGGGCCAAGTCCAGCAGTCAAGCAGGTAATGGTTTGTTCCCTAAAATAAATGTATGCTTTTTTGTGCTTTTGAGGGGAAATTGCCAGGTGGTTTCAATTTGTAGGATTAAACATTAAAACAAACATGAAATTACACTAGCTAAAATTCAAATTCTGTGATTATTACGTCAAAAAAATAGATGCATATATGACCACCTCTTATGCCACCCTGCACCCTGGGTTTTGACACAAATTTCACGATTCGATTCGATTCAATATAGATTATTTTGGATATATATCAGGTACAGTATGCTACATGCCAAATTTTCTCAAGGAAAAAAAATCTCTCAACTAATGCTGTAAAATATACATGAGAGTCAGTTGGTACTAGCTACATTACTATAATATTGAATTTGTAGGCTACACAACTGCTAAAATTACACTTAATTAAGTTTTTAAAATAATAAAGTTACAATTACATAATATTTCTACTTCAATTCGTTTTTTTTAATAGGCTATAAACATTTAAATGGTGGCTTAAATCATAAAACTTGATGGATTTATTCAAACATAAATTAAACATTGAAGAACAGTAAAAATTATAATGAAAATGTTATATAGTGCATATATTTAGCAACATGCCCCTCTCTCCAGTTTATTTTTCTAGCTGACTAATGAGTTCTTGGTCACCGAATATGTTTTTTTCTGTGGTAAATGTGACCACACATTTGTAAACGTGACATTGTTTACAAGACATTATATTGACGTCTTTGCGCGGCTGAAACACTATTTGAGCGATTACGTGAGACAGGATACGGATTGTAAAGTTATACTCTTTCTTTTAGCTTACCTCCGGATGTTTAGTCATGTTTATTTTGTGCTGGAACTGGTATTAATATGGAGGAGATGATCATTTCACGTGCGCTACGCGCTGCCGTGTCTGTTGAACTGAGGCGCTACAGTGATCTGTCACTCCAGATTAAACAGCGCCAAAACGGCATTTGTTATTTGAATACTGCAATACAATGGACAGAATTTGAAATCTGAGACTTTGTCTCATATTAAAAGTACCAAACACAATGCTTATTGCGGTATATTGGCTGGGAAGTGCACTTCAATGTTCCATCCATTAACTGAACACAGGCTAGACTAATCGATTCTTGGGATTTAAGAATCGATATCGTTCTGTAAAAATGAGAATCGATTAAAATCGAGATATCGATATTTTTTACCCAGCCCTAGTTTGCATATCTAGTCTCAGTATGGCAGCCGCAGTGGATGGATAGGCTACCAAAATGCGAACTAGCGATCTGAAACAATGGCCTCAGCACTAGTTTTAGTCGACGAAAAGTCATTGCATTTTTGTCAACTTTTAGTCATTACTTTTAGTCATTACTTTTAGTCAAACTGCAGTTACCAACATTTATTTTGGTAGCTATTTTATAGTCTTCAAACAAAGATAGTCATTAATTCTTCTCTCTTTAGGCCAAATCAATTAAGCTTATGAGAAATTTGAATCAAGGATTGAATTTGGAAAAACTTGAATAAATGATGACAATTTTCATTTTTAGGTGAACTGTCTCTTTAAATCTGATAACACATACATGTGAAACATAGCCTGGGTGAACTATCCCTTTAACAGTAGTGAAAAGGGAGCAACTTATAAAAATGATAGTTGTTCATATATAATATATATAATTATATAATTTAGAATTTTTGAAAAAGAAGCAGAATAAGACAATAAGACAAATATGAAAGAGATACAAACTAAACTCATTTTTCAGATACAGTAGGTTTACTTAACATATATATTTAACATATTTTGTTGGTTAACATTAATGACACAGATAGGTACTTAATTAGGAATGCTGTCCCTTTAAGACGGAAGGCATGCATGTAATACTGACACGCGTTCAGTTTTCACCATAGACTGTAAAAAAACATGGACATAGTGTCCGTGACGTCACTCGTAGGGTTCAGAAGAGCATATTTGAAGCCTAAAGTGGGCGGAGCCGACCGCCGCCATCTTGGCAGTGCGTCACACCCGGATAATCGAAAATGGGCAAAAAGGCGGGACGTGGGTGAAGCTGAGGCACTAGTTGCTGAAAGCATGCCCGTCTATGGTGACAGCAGCGCTGCCGTGCAAAGACAAAACACCATAACCTCGTTTTTGGTCGAAATTAGTTATTGATAATTTTGGGACTTATATGACCTCCTTTATCATGTGTATAAGTATCTTGGAGAAAAGCCCAGGAGAAACCAAGGCAGAACACAGTATCATCAGTTACCGCTCTTTGACTTTGTTTTAGAATGCTCAAATTAAGTTACGGTGCTCTGCATTTGTTTAG